GACCCTGGAAGTCAACTATCCAGTGTTTCTAATAATATCTCTCATCAAGCAAGTCTAGAAAAAGTTAGGCCATTTCCAAAAGCTGGATCAAGGAAATCCATTAAAGGACGTAAACGTCAGCGTACTCGAATACTCACAGACACTCCTGTTCGAAATGAGTTAAATAAGCTTCAGGAAATAAAAAAAAAAATCTCAGTTAAAATAAGAAAAAACATGAAGTGCAAAATAAGATCTTCATGACAAGAAAAAGAAAACTTGATCTTGAAAGTAATGAAAATAAAAACGTTTAGTTTTTATTTTCATTACTTTCTCAGTAAAAAATAACATTTTTTTCATTAATTTTTACTTTTTCAAGAAAGATAAATTTGTAGGAAAATTAGTAATAACTTTATTGGTTTTTATTATAGACATTGTTTTGATGACTTAAAAATTATTCTTATACAATCATGGTATACTTTTGATCTCGAATCAAGTATACATATATAGGATCAAGGGTGCATATAGGTAGGATCAAGGGAGCATACTGGTATGCACCCATGATCCTAATTGAGCATTCTTAGTTTTTATAATTTTAAATCTACTTAAAATATTCTGGTAAAAAAATGATAATTGAATTATAATAAGGTATAAAATTTGCTATTATGTACTGTTATTTTAGAGATTGAAATAAAAACATATATTCAGTAAGTTGGCCTGATAGATTTTTAGGATCATGGGTGCATACTCTCCCCTATGTTCAAATCTAGATATATAGACTTAGTAACTTTTCCTATCTAGTGCTCATATGTTAATAATACTTAGGTATCTATAAATTGACTTTGCAGAACACAAAAACATTCTTATACTATATTCATAAAGAAAATGTTATATTTATATTATTCTTATTAAACTATAAGAATATAAAAGATAAATGCGTTAACAACAATCAAATTATATTAGAGAAAAGTTATAAATATGACAACAAAAAGATAATAAAATAAAGCAAAATTATTATCTACGCAACAAAATACAGGTTAGGTTTTATATTTCTTTAACTAATTTAGGTTTTAGGTTTTTTTTATCAGTTTTCCAGATAACATGAACACGTTGGCCCGACGTTGGCACGATGTAGGTTTTTACAGCGGCCAATGGTAGTTTAACTGCGTCGGAACATTTTAGTTTTTGCTCATCAGAACAATGTACACCTAATGTCGTGGGGTCGATATCAGTAAAACGTCGGATCGATATCAGTAAAAAGTAAAAAAAACGATTTTCAAGATAGATGCAAAAATCTGCGCTGTAAACGCAAATGCTCTTGTTTATATCGTTATTAATTTGATTTTACCACTGATGGACCAATATTGGCCCAATGTCTGTTGATCTGCTTCGGCAACTCTTTGTTGGACGACTAATGTTTTTTTTGCGGCTACCCAGCTCAGGCATTTTTTTTAAGGCTCGGCAACGACCCTGTTACGGCATCCCAGAGCTGGCAACCCAAAAACCGAACTTTATTGGCCTTTAAAGAACCATAAAAATAATACAGTTTATTCAAGGTCTTATCAAGTGCAATATACGGGCCTGGTTGCTTATTAAATCGGGTTTATATTTGAACCCTAATATTCATAATTAATTAAGAAATTACTTTTTGTAATTACTGATTTAATCATAAACAACCCTTCTAAGAATCTTTACATAAAATTTAAAACTTAAATGTAAATACAGCTTTAAATTCTATAGTTCAACTTTTTTTTTACTAGTTTATTATATTATTTGATATAACATTTATACAAACCTTAAAAAAGTATTTTTTTATGTTTAAAGTTTTATTACAAACAAATTTAACACGCATATTTATACCAAAAATTAAATAACTAAATAGAAATTTCCGCTTATAAGGATTTACTATTTCATTAGTTGCTTTTTACATTAATTTGACGACGATTGAAATTTTGAAAATATCTGTTATTTTAAAAGTATCTGTTGTTGTGACAACATGTTTTTTTTGTCGACATTTGTTATTTGTCGATACCTGTTGTTTTGACGGCATTTCTTATTTTGATAAATAATATTAATTGTAAAAACCTTTTCCTCAGCTGATTTCTTATTAAAAAATTAAATATCAATAATAACGGAACCATTAAATCGCTTGTCTCAAGTTTTTTGTCCACTAAATAGTAAAATTGTGCAATTTTTCTATTTTTTGTTTTGAATCTTAGTTCTGTTTTAGCCTTTATACTTTTGTATTATTTAGTTCCAAAAATCGGAGATTATTAAAGGTTATGCAGTAAAGTTATTTTTTTTAATTGTATATTTTTTTTAGTGAATTTGCTGACACAATCTTTTTATTTGAACCAAAAAAACAATTAGTAAAAACTAATCACATCATATCATGCCACATGTGCGTAAACTAACACTGTACTTGCTAATTAGCAAGTACAAGCTATTTTTGATTCTCGGATAAAACAGTGTTAACACAGTTTTATTTCAAAATTAGCTTTAAATAATGATTGCATTTTTTATTTCGTACTTTATCCCAAATTAATTCATAATCAATAATCATTAGCATTAGATTACTTTGTTTTTATACTGCAGAATTAAAAAACTCTTTTCTCCTGTTTTCCTCATTAAAACATGTCTGAAAAAATGTAAACAGATAAAATATATTTTACATTTTATCTAAAAGAGTGTACAACCTGAATGTAGTACACTATAAAAAAATCTTGATTTTTTAGTAAACTATTATAAGAGTTACCAAAATTTGCTTTTCTAAACAACACCTAAGCAGCAAAACCAGAAATTCTATTAAATGAAATTTTGCTAAAATTTGTGCCTGAAATATTTTTGGTAATAATGAGTATGTTGCTGATAGGTTTGGTAACAGGTAAGCACCAGTGAAGTTCCTTTAAAGTTGCCAATTAAAGTTAAACAAAATTGAATGTCAAATTTTGTATTTTTCAGTGACCAGATTTGTTAATAATGAAGTAAGTTTCTTTTTAACTGTTGTTGCAAATCTTCTGATACCGCAACAAGAGTTTGTCTTTTGACTTCAGTGTCTTTTCCAGTCGTGTAAAAGTATTTTTTCTAAATAACAAATTTAAAACATTATGTAAAAATCTAAAATAATAATTATTTATGCCAATTAACTTAATAAATATAAAAGTTATTTGGTTTTATCACAGTTAATCTGTTTAAAAAAAAAAAGTATTTTAATTTTCTTTGTTGGTATCCCTAGTATATCTTTTAAACCATTTTGTAGCACTTTTGTTTACTTTGACAGTAGTTTATACATTTAAACGCGCTTAGTTTTTTGCGCTTGGCATTTAAGTATTTTAATCAAAATAAAATTAAATGTTCTAATAAAACAATGATATTAAAAATTGTTGGTCTTACATTGTAGAACAATCATGTAACTATTATTTTGAATATCGTGATCGAATATCACAGAGTTTGTAACGTTTTGAGGTACATGTAGTAAAAAACTAACAAAGTTTAAAGAAAAACTGCCTTAGATTTGTAATTAGTAAGCCAATCACATTTGCACCAATTTTATTTAAACTGTAAAGTGTTGTTTTTAATCTGCATATGTTTTTATAAGAGCGCAATAAAATCATAACTTTACTCAATTTCAACATTCAAAATTATTTTTTTTCCGAGGAAAAATTTAAAAGACTTTCAATTTTTATCGCAAGTTACCTTGATGTAAACAATATTTTTCCGTATAATTGGTATATATAAAATTTCTATATATAAAAAATTGGTATATACAAAAAGTATAAAATAACGCCGTCCTTGGGTCAGCTAGATTGGGATTATCAGGATCCATGATAACCACGCATGAAGAATTTGATTTTTAAATCATGTTAAATTTTGTTATATGTTTATGTCACTAACAACTTTAATTTTAAAATAAGTTACTTGTTCATAAAAACTTTCAAAAGGAAAAACTCAGATAAAGGTTTAATATAATCAGAAGATATCGGAAAGTCAGCACATTTTTTTATCATTAAAAATTAGTGTTCACGTAATTAAAAAAATGAACTTACTAATAAACTCAATCAAAGGTTTACATCTGATGCGTTTTTATTTTTTTTTTAATTATTTCGAACAATTGTAAGTTCAATTTTTTGAACAATGTAATAAATTTATGTTTTTAAAATTCAATTCGTCATCGTCAATAAAAAAAAGCATCTGCATAACAAACCAGTCCATAGTAAATATACTTTTTGTTTTCTTCGCTTTAAAGTAAAGAGATGTAGGAAGTAAACTTTTCTTAAAAAAATACTTAAATAAAAACTAATCGAAGAAAAATAGTTTAGAGCCAAAAGAAACTCCGGCTAAAGACTTTTAAATTTATTAAAAGATTTAACTTCCTACTGAAGATTTTTTTATTCCTTGAGTGATATATTTTTATTGGTATTTATTACTTAAAAATTATTTTTTTAAGACAAAATAGTAGGTCAAATACAACACAGTCCGTTTACTTTATTAAATTTATTTAATTCAAAATATTTTTACTCGAAGATAGCATTTTTGAAAGAAAAAACCTAAAAATAAATCTTAGAATAAACAAGCATAATAACCTCGGACCATTGCCTTAATGTGCGGGAAAAATTATTGCATTTTATTTGAAATTTAATTAAAACTGAGTTTATATTTGTCAATAATTCTTAAGTTTTTTGAAAAAATTATAAAGATACCAATCTGTAACATTTGCTAAAACTTTGAAAAGTTTTTTCTATGAGAAAAAACTTTTCAAAGTTTTTTCTCGTAGAAAAAACTTCAACTATAAGAAATTATTATATAGTATAATAAGAAACTATAAAAAATTCCTGGGTTAAGACACAAAATTGTTTATTTAAATTTTGCCACGCAAAAATTAAGTTCCTTTTAAAAACATTGCACTCTTTATTATAATAATATTCAAATTTTGCCTATTTAAAGAATTAAAATAGAGGAATAATTTCCCCTTTTTCTTTTGATCATTTAACACAAAACATTTACTTCATTTCATTGTATTTTAGAAACAATCAAGTCAAAAACGAAAGTGGAAACCAAGGTAACCATTTTTTAAAATACCAATAGTGTTAGCATTAAAATAAGAAAATGAAAAAAAAAAATAAAAAAAGCTATAAACATAGTTACCATTATAAAAACAATTACTATAATAAAAATATTTACTTTTATGGATATAATTACTATTATAAAAATAAACACTGTTATACAAATAATTACTATTATAAAACTAATTACTAGTATAAAAATAATTACCATTGTAAAAATAGTCACTATCTTAAAAATATTTACTATCATAGAAACAATTTTTATTATAAAAACTATTATAAAAATAAAATGTATTTTTTTGTTATCACATAAATAGCTTCCATTTTCAAATCAATATTTTCTCTGATGTATTGTTTACAACTGTTGGTTTTGACAATTATACAATTAAAACTTTGGTATTATGTTGGTTCAATGCATGACAATATTTCAACATTAACTTTAAACAACCAAACACAAGGTTTTTTGATTTATTAATTTAAATAAAATTAATAGAACATTTACGTTTAATAATTTTTATTTTTGTTAATTATTCACAAAACACACCTATACACGCCTATCTTCCCTCTTTTTTTCACTCACACAGATAATTGTATATTATCGTTAAGTATAATTTAGTGAGTAAATACACTAATTTGTTTGGTTATATTCAACTTGGCGGAATATTTGTAACCCCAATAGTTGGTCTTTTATTTCAACAAAGCGAAAAAACTGTTGACGAAAAGCTTGCGTGCCTTCAATATTCAGATAAACACATCCCTGAAATTCGATCTAGCATAAGACCGTTTGTTGTTACAATTGTGTTGACACTTATTCTTTGTGTACTCTCATTGTTTGCGGATCTAAGGTTGGAGGTAGTATTTTATTTAAATGTTTGGATTCCAATCTTATTCTACTTTTTTATTAAACAGCACTAAGCTTTTAAATTTTTTGTTTCTTACAGATACCCTGCTATATGCTATACACTGTAGTGCGAGGATTTTTATATGCAAACAATGCAGCTTTTATTGGAATTGCGTAAGTTTGATTATCACTAACCTTTTTGTTTGATTTGTTTGCATTTTTTGACTAACTAATAATAAATTGAATTTAACTTTCTGTGTGCAATAATATTTATAATAACAAAATGACAAAAAAAGATTATAATTGTTAAAAGCAAAATTAAAAATGGTAAGATTGGTATAAGTAAAAAAAATAGGCATTTATTAAAACTAATTTTATTAAAATAACATTTGATAGTTGAAAAACAATAATTTTAGTAGAAATAAGTTTAGTACAGACAGATGGTTTGTGATGATTCTATATGGGTTAACTGTCTTGTTTTTATATAGTTTCGTTATAAAAACAGTACCCAAACATTAATTTTTAGTTTTTATTGGTTTATTGATATTTTATATAGTTTTGGTCATATGGTAGTCTACCATGGAAGTAATATAAACATCTTTTACGTGTTTGATATCATTTAATTAAATAATCTGAAATAATTTATATAACATAGAAACTTTTTAAAAGGGATAATTTTGCTAAGCTAAAAACATTTTTAAAGGATTGTTCATAATTTTTTTCGATATATGGTGCGTATATCTAAAGTGAGAACAAGAACGGGGACGCAGTGGCTAGAGATCTGGGCCAGAACCAAAAGGCTAATGGTTCAACGGCGGTTCTAAATCAAAAAGCAACAATGACATTAAAGAAAGCGTAGATTTTCTGTTTAAATATTCCTCTGCCATACTCTGTAATACTAAATTCATCTTACTACTAAAAAAACAAAAAAAAAAAAAAAAAATATAGCATGATAAATGAAACTCTTAATAGTGCAGGCCACTATGCACCTTCATGTGCACATACGTGTTACAAACAAACTTTTTGTTGGTATGAGATCCTTGTATGATAAGGATTTGAAAAAGACAGGTGTCACTCGATTTTTATTTTGCATGACAGGTGGTATGACGTAACTAGTCACTATTAGCAACTAAATTTTTTTTGTGATACAAATTAAATTTTTTTTTACCAATCAAAAGAGCATAAATCAGGTATTCAAATAATATAAAAAACATATGTTGAAAAATTTAATTAAAAAGATAAATGGGTAAATATGTTTTTTTCAAACCGGGGGTAAACCGCTGCTTAGTGATTTTTAATAATTTTTGAAATACTTTCTTGAACACGGATTTTATCTTTTATGAAATTTGTTTTTTATTATAAATTAAGATATACTAGTTTTAGCTATATTATTTTTAAAAAATGTTTTAAGATATATTATTATAAAATTTATATTATTTAAAACAAATTTTAGACAAAAAGCATTTTTTTTAACCTCCGGATTTTGACAACATTATACCTGTTTAGATGAAATAGAATATTTCATGATTGACGATTGTTTTGTTTCGTATGTTTAGATAATGTTATTTTATTTTTACATTAATCGACCTATAAGAATGCAACAATTCGAATGATTTGTTTTTGTTTTTGGGTTTCAATAATGTTTCTATACTGTGTTATTGCTATTTCACATAATAAATATCATTAACAAATGGAGGACGAAGAACGAAAAAAAAGAAAACTCATTTTTGACTTTACTAAATGCATTGTTTGTCAGGAGAATGATCGTAAAAAATAGTAATTCTGTTTACTTGATTTAGATATTATTTCAAATATCTACGTAAAAATATAAATCTATGTATTTTTACATCTCTTGTCCTTTAAAAAAAACGATTTGGTGCATTTTGAATATGTTCATTAAGTAGTTTTTAAAAGTGTCTCCCAGCAATTACTAAATTTATTTTTAGATTGTAAAAACCAGTTTGTGCGACGGTTTGGAAAAACTAATGGTATATTTAAGGCAAAGGTACAAGATGAATTACATAGTAATTACGTGAGTACATAGATGAATTAGAAAATTCATGCCAAATGTCAAAAGGTAAAGGAAAACAGCTCCGTTCAAAATCTCAAGTCTACAACAAAGAACTTTGTATAATTTGCCAATGTGAAGGCTGTGAACTTCGAAAAGTTGATTTTACAGAGACTGGAAAATAAAAACGTTAAAAGTTTCCAAGTTGCTTAATAACCAAGCACTATCCCAAATTCTGATGACGCCGTTACAAATAATGTTAAGTACCACTTAAAGTGTTGGTTAACAGTGCAGAGATCTGTTAAATTGACAACAACTCAAGTAGAAATTCAAGATTCGGATGATATTGGATGAGTATCGCAGATGTCAGTGTCAGGTCAGGATTATGGTCTTCATGATCATCCTGCTACTGATAACATATAACCCAGTGCAACCTGTTCCATGTTCTGCTGCCTTGCAGCATTTGCTTTCTGAGCAAAGGCTAGAAGGAGTGTGCTTGCTGTCATCAGTACTATCTTATATTGGTCATGCTTATAAAAATTTTTTTTTTATAGGCATGACCGATATAAGATAGCTCACCTGTAATCTACTTTATATGTATGTTTGTGTTCTGCCTGAACCTCTGGCGCGGTGTTCGCTCACCCGTAAGTTGATTTATGTTTATTTGTGTTCTGTTTATTCTCTGATGCAGCGTGAGCTCAGTAACTAGCTACTTACTTCAACTACAAAACCTACACTCACCTTAGACTCCTGTATTTTGTTAGATGCAGTGTTTTTCCTAATGCACTTCCAAAATGTCATGCCTGGTTTTCTCAAAGTACTGTTGTGGGAAGTAACTCCTTTTAACTACTCCAGGTTGGGTCAGGATAATCAAGATCAATCTTGCTACTGGTATCACGTAACCCAGTACCACCTGCCACAAGCCCTGCTGCTTGGCAGAGTGTGTTCTTCTTAGGCAAAGGCTAGGAGAAATAAACTCCGACTAAAAATTCCCCTGCCTGGGGCTCTTGGTTGAATAAAGGCTAGAGAATGTGTCTCGATAAAAACACTCATCTTGGGCAGATCTTAACTGCATCCAGCTACTGTCTTGTAGAAGGCCTTCTAGGCAAAGAATTTAGGGGTAAGCAGAAAAATTCTTCTAACCAGCCTCAATCCCCTTCCTCATCAATTAGGCTGGCGTAGATGTAACCTGTGTTACATTGTTTCCTGCCTAGAATGATGAATGCTGTATCTCCTTGACTCTACTCATAGAATTTTGCTTATGCCTTCTTGAAAATGGCTATGCAACTCTTCCTGTTACCTCCATATGAGGATACAGCTCAACAACTCAGTTTAATGGTTCTGAGGCCGGCTGGTAGTAAGGTTTCCCGAAATCTGTGGTAGCTCTCAGAGAGGCTGATTCCATCAACAGCTGCAAAATATCAGAGTATTAACAATGCCATGTTGCGCATGGATGGTGTCCCTGGTAATGCTTTTGGTGTGCATTGTCAAGGCCTCATAAGAAGCCTTATGTCACAGCTTAGGATTAATTAGCAGGACTGAGACAACTGCATAGCTCATTGATTAGGAGGCTGTGCTCTATCTATGAATGAGTCAAGTTCTCATTAAACCCAAATCATGACCAAAGTAACCAAAAATTTAAAACCTAAAAAAACATCCCCACCACCTAAATGTTTTAATATATCTTTTACAAATATTCGCGGTCTACGAAGCAACTTTCCGTCAGTTGAGTCTTACCTCCTGCAAAATTCACCAGACTTGCTTGCACTTAGTGAAACAAATTTAAGTTCTGCAATTCCTTCTTCAGATGTCAGTATTGATGGGTACTATCCTTTGATTCGTAAAGACTCCAATAGTCACATGCTAGGTTTATAGTATACATACACATTAATTCCCCTATTTGTCGTGAAATCAGGTTCGAATCCATTGACCATTCTTTTATGTGCTTTCGCCTAGCACCTCTTCACTATATTATCTTTCTCTTTGTTCTTTATCGTTCTCCTTCTTCCCATGATTGCACTCTTTTAGATGTTATCTCTGATCAAATTGACCATGCCCTCTCTCTTTACCCCTCTGCCAATATTGTTGTTGTTGGTGATTTTAATGCCCATCACACTGAATGGCTTGGCTTTAACACTACTGATCCTGCTGGCACTAAAGCCATTAACTTCTGCGTTTCTCAATCTCTTACTCAGATAGTTAACTTTGTGACTCGTTTTCCTGACAACCCTAATCATTTACCTTCACCCCTTGACTTATGTCTTGTCTCTGACCCTAGCTTATGTTCAGTTTCTCCCTTTTCTCCCTTAGGTGGTTCTGACCATGCAATGATCTCTATAAATTTTTTTTCTCGTATTTCTCACCTTATCATCGCACCACCTACCACTACCCTAAAGCTGATTGGGATTCTTTTCATGATTTTCTTCGTGATGGTCCTTGGGCTGATGTTTTTTCTCTCTCAGCTGACAAATGCGCCTCCTATGTAACCTCCTGGATTCAGGCTCAAATGGAAGCTTTTATTCCTTGTCGTCGGTTTCAAGTCAAGTCTCATTCTACTCCATGGTTTTTTCCTTCTTGTGCGGCTGCTATATCCAATCGTAATCATTTTTTTCATCTTTTTCAAAAGAACAACTCTCTTGAAAACAAACAGCTATTTATTATTACAAAAAATCGATGTAAAAAGGTGCTTTCTGATGCTAAACTCCATTATTCTCAGTTCACTAAATCTCGCATCTTATTGCAGAAGTTAGACTCTAAAGACTTTTGGAAAATCTTCAACAGCATTATTAACAAGGGTAGACCTAACATTCCAACTCTCATTCATGGGACTGATCTTATTACCTCTCCCAAGGATAAGGCAGAACTATTTGCAAAGAACTTTTCTTCTAATTCCACTCTTGAATCTTATGGACATTCTCTTTCTTCCATTCCTGTCAAACAGGTTGACCCATTGTTAGACATTTAAATCACTCCGGCTTTTGTTGCTAAAGTCATATCTCAATTAAACTCGTCTACAGCTTGTGGTCCAGACAACATTCCTGTCACAGTCTTACACAATTGTTCTCCAGAACTTTTTTCAATTCGCTCTAAACTATTTAATAAGTGTTTGACTGAGTCTTATTTTCCTGCTTGTTGGAAAATGGCATCTGTGGTTCCAACATTCAAA